ATTTTTTTTTCCTGACCGCTTTTCATAGTTACAGCACTGAATCGGTAGATTTTACAGCTTGCTACAGAGCACTGCCTGCCTGTCTTCCTTCCTTCCCTTTGTCCGTCTTTCCGTTCTTCCTTTTATGATGAAATGACAGATATTGTAAAAGATTGACCTGGATGCTGTGGTGAAATAATCTGTAGGAAGTCAACTTACAACCAGGGAAACTATTTAAGAGTTTATTACAATAATCAAGAAAAAGAGAGAGAAGTGCCTAGAGTGAAGGCAGTTAGGAAGATTCTGGATATTACTGGCAGACGTGGTCAATAAGATAATGCCAGCAAACTGATTTGGGGCTTTAAATGTTTAGTAAGTCAACAACAAAATCTAATGTGTCCTAGTTAGAGAAATTCTTGGAGTTGAGTAGTATCAGTCTGTAGACTTTTAATTTAGAAAAATATATGTTCTGGGTCTTTTGCTTGCCCATGTATACTTCAAATTAATTCGCTGATATTGATACAGTAATTTGGTTTTGATTGAGAATGCAATTATTGAATCTATAAAGTAAATTATGAAGAAATAAAACTCTGAATAAAATCTTCCTATGCTTCTACCAGTGAACACAGGATAGCATTAGTTGTATGTATTTTTTAAATCAGAGTTTTATAGTTTTCTGCACTTGAGGAGAATGAAAAAAAAGTTTGGAAATTGACATTAAAACCCCAAAATTGTGGAAAATGAAATTTAAAAGTAAAATTTATTGAAATCCATGAGGTTTCTTTTTTTTGTAACATGCATTTTTGCAAGCTTTTAAACACCCCTCATATGGATAACATTCATGTTTTGTTAGATTTATACCTCAGAATTTCATTATTGGTGGTGATAGGAAACATTTTGTGCTGATCGTGGGTGATAATGTAAATAGTCTTACATTTTTAATTTTAATTTCAGTTCCTTTCCGAGTTTTGAGAAAGTGATTGACTTTTGTATAATATGTTACATCCAGAAATCTCGCTATAATTACTTTTTCTGGCATTAATGTAGATAATTGTAAGTAGTACTCAAACTGGTATAAATATTCCTCATTCAAAATGCATGAGACCAGAGTGTTTTGCAATTCATATTGCTATGCATTTAGTTTTATATACACAGTGAGATATGTTGGCATGGGAATAAAGTCTCAACACAAGATTCAGTAGTCATGTATATGTTATATACATGTCCTTAAAGTAATTTTGTTACTTTTTTCAGATGTTGAAGTTATTATTGCTATTAGTAATATTATTATTATCTTATTTGAGAGGCAGAGGTTGCAGAAGAGAGATGAAAGCACTCCATCTGCAGGTTCATTTCCCAGATGGATTTGGAGTGGCCATAATTGAGTTGACTCAAATCTGGGAGCTGGAAGCTTCTTATGGGTCTCCTATGAGAGTATAAGATCTCAAGGACTTGGACCATCCTCTGCTGCTTTCAAAAGCATGAACGGAGATCGGAAGTGGAAACAGCCAGGATACCAACCGATGCTGATATGTGATGTTGGCACCGTAGGCCAGAAGATTAGCTTGTTATGCCACTGAGCCAGCCCCAGCTGTTTGCATTTTTTTTTTTTGAAGAATAATTTATTTGCTAGGCAAATGGAAAAGAGGCAGAAAGAGAGAAGAAGGGGAGCACTCACAATTACAAGTTTGTTCTCCAAATACCACAATGACCAGAAGTGTCAATTCTAGAGGCTGGGTTCTCCCCTCTGCAGGCTGCTCCAGAAGCTGGCTGCTGCCCTCTGCAGACTGCTGTCCAGTGGTCACAACAGCATTTGTTGGAGAGACCAACCTTTACCCCTGGAGTATTTTCAGCTCTCTTGTCAAAGATTAGTTGGCTGTACATGTGTGGGTTCCCTTCTGGGTTTCTAGCCTCCATTAGTCTTCTGTGATTCTGTGCCAGTACCAGACTGTTTTGGCGACCACTTCTCTCTCTCTCTCTCTGTGTGTGTATATAGATAGATAGATAGATAGATAGATAGATAGATAGATAGATAGATAATGTCTTGAGGTCTGGAATTGTAATTCCTCCTGCTGGATTTTTATTCTTTAGGATAGCTTTGGCTATTTGTGGTCTCTTTTGTTTCCAGATGAACTATTTTCTTTTTTATCATCTTTACTATTCTTGAGAAGAATGCTTTTGGGATTTTGATTGGGATTGCGTTGAATCTGTGTATTATTTTTGGTATACGAACATTTTGATGATACTGATCCTGCTGATCCAGGAACATGGTATGTTTCCTCATCTTTTAATATCTTCTTTTGTCTCTTTTTTTAATGTTTTATAATCTTTATTATAGAGGTCCTCCACATCTTTGGTTAGATTAATTCCTAGATATTTAAGATTCCTTTCTGCTATTTCAAAAGAAGTGTACTTACAAATTATTTCTCAGCTGTAGAATTATTTGTGTACACTAGTGCCATTGATTTATCTACATTAATTTTGTATTCTATCACCTTGCCAAATTCTCCTACGAGTTTCAATAGTCTCTTGATTGAATATTGTGGCTCTCCTATGTAGAGAATCATGTCATCTGCAAATTGGGATAGTTTTAATTCCTCATTTCCAATTTGAATTTCTTTAATTTATTTTTCTTGCCTAACAGTTTTAGTGAGACCTTTCAATACTATATAGATTAGCAGTGGTGACAGTGGACATCCTCATCTCATTCCAGATCGTAGTGGAATGGCTTCCGGTCTTTCCCCATTTAGCATGATGCTGGCATTGAGTCTTTTTGTATATCACTTTGTGTTGTAGAATGTTCCTTCTATTCTTGTTTAAGGTTTTCAGCATGAAGTGGTGTTGGATTTTACCAGACGCCTTCTCTGCATCTATTGAGATGACCATGTGTTTTTTATTTTTCAATTTATTGATGCGGTGTATCACATTTATTGATTTGTGAACATTACATCATCCCACCTGATCTGGGTGAATGATCTGCGTGATGTACTGTTGGATCCTGTTGGCTAGCATTTTGTTGAGTATCTTTGCGTCTGTGTTCATCCAGGGTATCAGTCTGTATTTCTTTCTGTTGTGTGGCTGTCTGGCTTTGATGTTAAGGTGATATTCACAGGGGGACAGGAATGCAAGAAATGCAGTCCAGGTTTACAGGGGTGGCTGGGATTCAATGACTTGAGTTTTTCCCTGTTGTCTCCCAACAGTTGCATTAGTAGGAAGCTCGAGTCAGGTGCCTGAGAAAGGAGCAGACCCAGAGATTAGGATGTGGTACACAGAAATCTAGCCATGTTCCACTTCTGGAGCTGAGTTTGACTACAACTAGTCTAATGAGGTCATGTGTAGCATTTTTTTTTACTTGTGTTATATATTAGTGCACAAATGTTTTGGATTTTAGAGCCTCTCAGATTTAAAATTTTTGGATTTAAGTTGCTTAACCTGTACCTCATTATACAGCTAAGGGTCACCCGCAAAAAATTTTGCAAAGAATACTGAATGAAAGAGGTGTGCCTGAGGTATTAAAAGTTTTCAACAAATATAACAACCTAGTGATATAAAAAAGCAAAATTTAACTCATGAGTATCTGTGACTATTTAAAGGTATAGTAAAAATGGGCTAAAATCATTTGTCAACCTATTTTTCAGAAGAATTGCAAGTAGTTCACATCTGATTTTTCCTTGAATAGTTCAGTTTATATGTCATTCTGATAAATTTAAAATGCATATAGCTTTTTCCTATATTATTCAAACAGCTGCTTTATGTGAATCTGATGGTTTAAAATATAAATCAACAGAAATTTATTAGCATTAGTGAAATAGATTTTGTTTTCCATTTGTAAAGATGTCTGACTCAGGATTAACTTCATCAGTAAGTTACATGATTCTGATTTTCAAAAATGACAGTTTAGCCTTATAAATAGGAGCCCAGCTGGGGCTGGTGATGCGGTGCGGCTCGTTAGGGCACCACTTACGATGCTCACCTCACCTCTCAGGGCGCATGCTCCAGTCCTGGCTGCTCCATTTCTGACCCAGATTCCTGCTGCTGTGCCTGGGAAGGCAGCAGAGATTACCTGAATGTTTCTGCTCTGCCACCCATGTGGGTAATCAAGATAGAGTTCTTGGCTGCTGGTGTCAGCCTAGCCCAGACGGGGCTTTTACAGCCATCTGGGTGAAGAAGCCATGACGGGAAGATCTACACTTGATCTTAGCCAAAAGGCGAAGAAGCAATGCCAGGAAGATCTATCTCTTCCTCCCTCTTTGTCATTTTGTCTTTCAAATACATGCCTACCTCCACGTACATGTGCCAGTCACTAAATTATCAAATATTTTTTAAAGGAAGCACAACTCTTTCGTGCAGTAGAACTACATCAGAATTTATCTTTATTCCTCCAATGAATGAATAGACTTTTAAAAAATGCTTGTTTCAAAGGCAGAGAGATAGGTACATACACAGATAGACACACACAGAGAAAGAAAGAGGAAAAAAGAGAGGGAGAGGGAGGAAGAAATAAACAGAGATCATCATTACTGGTTCATTTCTCAAATGTCTGTAGTGCCTTGGATGGACCAGGATGCCTTGGATGAAGGCAGGAGCCAGGAGTTTCTTTTAGAGCTCTGTGGATGCATGGGCCTGAGCACCTAGCCATTCTCTGCTTTCCTAGGAACATTAGCAGGGAGCTGGATACAAAGTGGAGCAGCCAGCCCTTGATCTGGCACAAATAAAATAAGTCTTTCTATGAAGTAAGTCAATGGGCCTATGCTTGCTAAATTAATCTTCAAATTAATATCTCATTAATGTAGGATTCATTATATCATTGGAAATACAGTGTTACAGAGATGGCAAAGGGTAATTTTGTAGAATAAAGGCTTCTTAAAGCTTATCATTTGTAATTGCATGTTGAGATGATTCTTTCTTCTCATGTGGTCTGTCAAGTGTAAAAGTCTTGCAATTTGGAAAAACATGGCTATTAAATATAAAAATGGGATAACAGTGAAATAAATAAATATGATCTTGTTTTTTATTTTCAGGAAACCATGAATTTGATTTTGGCGTCGATGTTTTGGAAGAATACATCAAACAGATGCACTTTACGTGGTTGCTCAGCAATGTCTATGACAGATTTACTTCTGAACCTCTTGGACATGGTATAGCAAAAAAAATAGTGACATGGAACAATATAAAAATAGGGTTAATGGGATTAGTTGAAGAAGATTGGCTAGATACACTGGCTACCGTTAACAAATCAAATGTAAACTATAAAGATTATGTTGAAGTTGCTAATGAAACAGCAATAGAACTTAAAGAAGAAGGAGCAGATCTCATCATTGCAATAACTCATATGAAATGGGGCAATGATACAAGGCTTGCCCAAGCAGCAGAAGGGGTCAATTTGATCCTAGGAGGCCATGACCATGATTATGGAATCAAGAAGGTGAATGAAACCTGGATTGTCAAAAGTGGATCTGACTTTAAATACTTGACAAAAATAAATATAAGACACTACGGTGCATCTTTCCAATATATGTTTGAGAAGGTGGACATTGTAAGTTACTTGGAAGAAGATTCATATATTAAAGCAATAGTAAAAGATTTTACTCAAAACATACAGGTAGGTGAGTATTGTGAATGCTGCTAAGTACCGTATAGTACTGGGACAATAGAATTAGTTCATGTATAACTGGAACTGAAATGGTTCAAACCAAGGAGTTAGTGCTAGTTTTTCTTTATGTCATTTTTCCTGCTAAATTTGTGTTTCCTACTAAATTTGGCTATGTAGGTAATAAAATTCCACACCTGTTTCAATGTTTAGACTTAACATTTTAGCTGTCATGAAAATATTTTTAGTATTAAAATTCTGTAGTAATTTCTTCCCTTAACAGAGGCATTAATACTGACATTTAAGAAACACCAGCTTCCCAAAAGAAGAGTGAATTTCACTTCAGTTTGCGATGAAAAGACATTTTTCTTCCTTCTTTATAACTATTATGTTGAAATTTTTAGGTGGTTTGTAACCAGTTCACTTAAACTTTTATATGCATTCAAATTTTTAGGTGGTTTGTAACCAGTTCACTTAAACTTTTATATGCATTCAAATTTTTAAGGCTTGTCTTTTTCTGTGGGCTCCAGAGTGTGTGTGTGTGTGTGTGTGTGTATCTGTCTTCTGCATATGTTACATTTGCAAGAGCTAATGGGAAATGTAAGCCAGTTTCTATTTACATCCATGCATGCATTGTCATATAATCTGTGGTAACTGAATTTATCCTATGGACATGCAGCTCCCTGTTCTGATTTTGTTGAGATATTAATGGAGGCATTAGGTTTGGGTGAACCTTATGTAGGAAAATGAAATATTTTAATTACAGTTTTCTGGCTCTGAAACTTAAATGCGAGTTCCTAAAATATGATAACTTAGCTCATCCAGATTGTTTTGAAATGTAAAAGTGATTATTAGGACATGTAGAGTTTTGGTATTCTATTAGTACTGTGATATTTGAAGAGGACGAATTTCAATAAATTACCCGATCTTGAGTTAGAGGTTAAAAAGAAATGATCAAGAGGTGAAATAAACATGTAAAGAAATGTTGATTTTTTAAGATATATTATTTTCTTTCTCCTTTTAGTATATGTTAGAAGAAGTTCTCTGCCCAATTAACATGGAATTAGACGGCCGTGAAGTTACCGTGAGAAGATCTGAGAGCAATCTCGGGAATTTGGTAACCAATGCGATGCTAGAAGCTACTCGTGCTGATGTAGCACTACTTAATTCAGGTGATTTATTTAATCCCTTTGTTGGAAGATGAACAAAATGGATACAATGAGTCTCTCAATTTTTATTTTTGGTTTGTTTTTATTAATGTAAAAAGAATAGATTTTATGTGTTCCATAGGTATAGTGCTAAAAAAAAAATCATACTTTCCTCACTCTCCTGATCCCTGGCCCACTGTTCCCTTCTCCCTTCCCTTTCCTCAACAGTATTTGCACAGACATAATCTTAATCCACTCTAGGTCCACAGGGTTAATTTGCCACAATTAAGAAGACCAAAGGAGTATATTTCCACTGCTATATGAATATGGGCTAAAAAATGACAATTGTATCACAGATGACTTTTATTTTTCTACATTTTTTTTGTGTTATATGTTGGCTGCCATGTGTCAGAGAAAATATATGGTTTGTCTTTTTGATACTGGCTTATTTTGCTAAACATAGTGGTTTTAATTTGCATCCATTTTTGTTGCAGAAGACAGGATTTCATTTTTTATCACTTAGTAGTGTTCCAAACTGTACCACATTTTATTTATCCAGACATGAGTTTGTGTACATCTGGTTTAATTCCATATTTTAGTTATTGCAAATCGAGTTGTAATAAACATGGCCATACAAATAACTCTCTTGTACACTGATTTCATTTTGTTTGGATACATATGCAGGAATGAGATTTGTTTATTTGAAAATAAGCCTTAGGGACCAGAGCAGTGACGCAGTGGTTAAGGTCCTCGCCTTGCACGCCCGGGATCCCATTTGGGTGCCGGTTCTATCCTGGTGGCCCCGCTTCCCTTCCAGCTCCCTTCCAGCTCCCTGCCTGTGGCCCGGGAGAGCAGTCGAGGACGGCCCAAAGCTTTGGGACCCTGCACCCGCGTGGGAGACCCGGAAGAGGCTCCTGGCTTGCGGCTCACTTGGGGAGTGAATCATCGGATGGAAGATCTTCCTCTCTGTCTCTCCTCTCTGCATATCCGCCTTTCCAATAAAAAATAATAAAAATAAATCTTTTTTTAAAAAAAGAAAATAAGCCTTAAAGGTTAGCATTTTTTGATTGTTCATATCCTGTGAGATTTTGAATGATCACATGGGCTTGTCACTTATCTAGATTAAACTTAATCAGTCCTTGATTATATGAGAAAGAGTAGGCTGAAAACTTTCTCGCAAGTCTTTTACCAATTTGTTTTCTTTCTTTTTTTTTATGGCACAATTCCATAGAGTTTTGGATTTCCCTAACTCCTCCCAAATCGCAACTTCCCTACTGGTTTCCCCATATTATTAAAATAGTAAAGTCCTTCATAAGCAGTCATAATCCCAACATTCTGTTATTTAAGTGTGTCCTGCCATTGCTGGTACTGACAATGTCAGACAGTCCAGCATCCAATTGTCAAGATATATCCACCAGTTTTATTGGGAGTCCATCTTTGATTTGGAAGTAGAGATGCATACGGCTTTGTATCAACACACTTGGATATGATACTCTTTATTAAACCATCAGTATGCATTCCCTTAAGTGAGAAGCCACGAAACAAAGTCAACAACAGGAATGAGGTGAAAACAAAAAATGTATAGCCCCATGGAGGAGTTGATAACCTGCTACTACTGAATAAATAACGTGTCAGTGAGGAAATGAAAAAGGAAAACAGAAAAGCTTCTTGGGTAAAATGATGCTACTGTGTGATCTGTGAGTCAGTGAAGAATTTGATAAGAGAAAAGAAACTATTTGGAATAAATAAAAATAAAAACAAAAATATCAAAACTCATGGGTTGCAACAAAAACAGTATGGAAAGGGTTACTGATCTTATAATTTGCATGAAGGCTGTCTTATATCAGAGAGAACATATGGTGTTTATACTTTTGGAATTGACTTATCTCACTGAGCATAACGATCTCCAGTTGGGACAGTATGGCTGCAAATTTGGCAAAATCTGGTCGCAATTTTTTTTTTTTCCTGTTCCCGGGTTTCTGAAGCTTGTTGTAAATCCTGGATGTTAGTCCCCTATTGCTTGTGTAGTGTGCATAAGTTTTCTCCCATTCCATTGGTTGCTTCCTCACTTTGTTAATTGTTTCCTTTGTTTACAGAAGCTTTTAGTTTGATATAGTTCTGTTTGTTTATTTTGGCTTTGAATGCCTGTGCTTTTGCTGTATTTTCTAAGAATTCTTCCACCATTCCTATATCTTGGAGAGTGCTTCCTATGTTTTTCGTTAACAGTCTGATGGTTTCTGGGTATAGATTTAGATCCTTGATCGATTTAGAGTTGATTTTTTTTTGTATAATGTGACAGGTGTGGGTCTTGCTTCTTACTTCTGCAGGCTGCTATCCAGTTGTCCCAACAGCATTTGTTGAAGAGACCAATCTTTTTCCATGGACTGTTTTTGGTTTTCTTGTTAAGGTTTAGTTGGCTATGCCTGTGTGGGCTCCCTTCTGGGGTTTCTGTTCTGTTCCATTGATCTTCTTCTCTGTTTCTGCACCAGTTACCAGACTGTTTTGATGACCACTGCTTTGTAATATGTCTTGAGGTCTGGAATTCTGATTCATCTTGTTTCATTTTTATTGTTCAGGATAGTTTTGGCTATTCATGGTCTCTTGTGTTTCTAGATGAAGTTTTTAAATCTTCTTTACTTATCTTGAGAAGAATTTTTTCGGGTGTTTGGTTGTGATTGTGTTGAATTTGTGTATTACTTTTGGTAATACCAGTATTTTGATGATGTTGAGCCTGCCAATCCAGGAACATGGTATGTTTATCCATTTTTAATGTCTTTTGCTATTTCTTTTTTTTTTAATGTAATTTTCATCATAGAGATATTTCACATACTTAGTTGAATTGATTCTTAGATATTTAAGATTCCTCTCTCTGCTATTTTAAAGGGGAGTTGTTAGCTCTTGTTCATTGTACTTCTGGTTGGCAGATTCTTCTCCTTAGGGCAGGTTTTTAAGGTGTGTTACCCATTGGTCTACAAGTCGATTTTACCGATTAGGTTTATTATCCTATTCTTTGTTTGTAGTCACTTGTGCCACTCCCTCCAGTTGGGTTTCAGGCTTGGACTTTTGTGTCAGGCTTCCACCACAGACTCCCTCTTTAGGCCCAGCTCCTGGTTCACTACTTTGCACTGCCTGTGATCCTGTGCTGTAGCCACAGTGATGTCTGTGCAGCCTTTCTCCCACCTGCAGGTCAAGCAGTGCGCCGGATTAGGAAGACATCAGCTGTCCAAAAATAATTGGGGTGTTAGCGATACTGATCTTGCCGATGCCTGCTGGTCATAAGGTCTGAGGACCACCTATTTGGGTGGAGCCCATAGAATGCCATGTTAGAACTGTTTTCTGTGGGACCAGTACAATGCACTAAGCTGGAAGTGAATTTGCTCCCAGTTTAGCACGTGCACAGCTCGCTGTTGTCCCTCCAACCCCACAGTGTTTGATCCTGTGAACATGGCCAACCAATTTCTAACTGCAGTAAGAGGAAGTAATATGAAAAAAACTTGTAGAGTGAATGCAGCATCTGTACTCATAGTTTGGAGTTGGCCAAACTAGGATTGTAAATTATTCAGAATCCCTTTAGAGGATAGAAAACTAAAATCCATCTTGTTTTGAATCTAATCTTGACTTATATATCATAATTTCAAATTTTCAAACACCAGGATTGTGGCCTAGATTCTTCATTAATTAAAATGTTCAAAATGTGACATTATTTAATACCTACCCACAAACTTATATTGCCACTTTCAATGAAGATTCAAGTCATGTTAGTGTTATACATGAATGACATGTCTTTAGTGTGACATTATTAAACCTTAGATTGTATATTTAGAAAGTCTTTGAGGGTTTTTGGTGCAGATGTTTTATTGTAGATAATCATTGCTTTGGGTGCTTAAGGTGATCAGCCTGAATGCAGGAAATGAGGTTATGATTTTTCAGTTGTCCTGTTCTGTAATTAAAAGTTAGGTGATAGCTAGCATGAAATTCCATTTTTTTGAAAATGATTAGACGTAGATTACATAATGATTACATGATTAGATTAGACGTAATTACATAATTCATATAGACATAAGCATTGAGAATTTTTTGGGAAAAGGATTACAAGTTTTGGCAGTGTGGCGTTTTTTAAAAATTTTGAACAAACATAAAAGGTGAATTTTTATGGAAAAATTAACCAAAGAAACATATATATTTTTTTAACTCTAGGCACTCTCAGATCAGATCGGATACATCCAGCAGGGAATTTCACTTTGCATGATCTTTTGGCTATTCTTCCCATAGTGGATCCAGTTTTAGTTGTCAGAGCAACAGGTGCACAGCTGCTGGAAGCGCTTGAAAATGGTGTTTACAAATACCCAGCTCTAGATGGGAGGTACGTACATTTATATAAATGGAACCTCATAATATCTGACCTTTTTTCTGGCTTCTTTCAATTAGCATGCTTTCAAGATTAATTTATGCATTAGCATGTTTCAATACTTCATTTCTTTTTTAATGTTTAATCACGTTGTGTGGAAAACAGTGTATCTATCCACTCATCAGGTAAGCATTATTGCGATTTAAGTTTGGGCTATTATGAATATTATGTTGCCATGAAAATTCATATGCTTTCATGGGGATAAGCTTAGTAATAGAGTTGCTAGGTCATCTAACTCTTAGATTGGAGAAGACAACAAGCCATTTGCTGAATTGTTGGCACTTCTGTATTGCCATTTGCTACCCCTGCCGCTTGTATGGTGATGACGCTCCTGGTAGATGTGAGGTGGGACATTTTGATTTGTCTCTGTGTGTCTCTGATGATTCTGGGTGCCCAGCATCACTTCATACGCTTGTTGGCCACTTGTATATTCCTTGGGAGAAATGTTTACTTGCATATTTTGCCTTTCTAAAGCTTATTTTTAAACGATTGAGTCATAGGAGTTCTTTGTATTTCCTAGTTATAAGCCTCTCTTCAGGTTAATGGTTTGCAAACGTTTTATCCTATTAATGTGGTTTACTAGCTTACTTTGTTGATGTTATTGTTGAAGAACTAAATTTTAAATTCTTAAGAAGCATAATTTATCTACTTTTCGTGATTTTTATTATTTTACTAAACTGTTGCCCAGTGCATGAAAATAAAAGTATATGCCTATGTTTCTTGCAATAGATTTAGAACTTTAGCTTTTTTTTTCTGAAAGAAAAAATTTACTTATTTTTATTGGAAAGGCAAATTAACAGAGAGAAGAAGAGACAGAAACAGAGATCCACTAGTTCACTCTCCAAGTGGCCACAGTGGCTGGAGCTGAGCAGATCCGATGCCAGGAGCTTGGAGCTTCTTCTTGGTCTCTTTCACAGTGCAGGGTCCCAAGGACTTGGACCATCCTCTCTGCTTTTCTCAGGCTAAAAGCACGGAGCTGGATGGGAAGTGGAGCAGCTAGGACATGAACCAGTGCCCCTGTGGCATGGTAGCAGCTTAATGATGGATTAGCCGCTCGAGCTATTGAGCCGGCCCCCATAAATGTAGCGCTTATCCTTAAGTTTTCCATCTGCTTTGAATTAATTTTCATGAGTAGTATATGAAGTTGATCCAACAATTTTTTAAAGATTTATTTATTTTTATTACAAAGTCAGGTATACAGAGAGGAGGAGAGACAGAGAGATCTTCCATCTGATGATTCACTCCCCAAGTGACTGCAACGGCCTGTGCTGTGCCAATCAGAAGCCGGGAGCCAGGAACCCCTTCCGGGTCTCCCATAGGGGTGCAGGGTCCCAAGGCTCTGGGCCGTCCTCGACTGCTTTCCCAGGCCACAGGCAGGGAGCTGGATGGGAAGTGGAGCTGCCAGGATTAGAACCAGCATCCATATGCGATCCTGGGGCGTTCAAGGCAAGGACTTTAGCTGCTAGGGCACGCCGCCCGACCCGGTCCAATAATTTTTACTTGCATGTTGCTGTACAGCTATTTCAGAGTATTTGCTGAAAAGACTTCTTAAAAATCTGCATTGGGTTGTCTTGGTCCTTATGCCAATATCAATTTTAAGCCCAAGTGTAATGGTCTATTTTCAGACTCTTCCTCGTGTTCATTAATATGTATTTGTTAACCCTTCATGCACAGTACATCTTGATCCTTTTTACCTTTATATTAAGTTTTGAAATCAGGAAATATGGCTCCTCCACCTTCGTTCTTGTTTTGGCTGTTTGGGGCTCTTTTATATTTGTGGATTTCTGGAGTCATCTTGTCAATTTCTGCAAAAATGCAGCTGGGATTATGACATGAATTTCATTCAGTCCCGAAAACCACTTTAAGGAGATTTACCATGTTAGCAGTGTTAAGATTTTCAATCTAACAACGTGGATTATGTTGCCATCTATTTAGATCTCCTTCAGTTTATTTAAACAGTGTTCTAGAATTAACAATTTTTAGACTACTTTTACTGTATTTGTTTCTACATATTTTATTCTTTTGCTTTTGCACATGGAATTAAATTTTCTTATGTCTCTAATGTTTTCTTAATTAAATTTTTTATTGTTTATGCCTATTGTATAGAAATGCATTTTTTGTTGACTATCTTGAATCAGTTACATTTAACGTCATGCCAATCTGCTGCTAATATAAATAGTAAACTAAAGTAAGGAGTTCCTACAGTTAGTTTGTAGGTTATATTCCTTAGGGATGTCTATGAGAACATCTCTATTTCAAAAGTAGAAATGTTTGTTTTCCAAGTTGTGCAATCAGGAGGCTAAGCTATAGCCAGCCATTTTTCATAAGTAGTTAATTTCTTGATAGTAAGTTTAAGCATGTATCTGCAAAGGGATTTCAAGCATTCTAGTTTGAGTCAATATTTTGGACTGACTTTATATTTCACCCTAAAGTTTCGTATCCTAAAGTTTCGTATCCTGTAACTTCCTTCTCAGTGTTGCTCATTTGCTCACAGAAATTACACAGCTAAGTTGAAGAAGATTTTATGAGGCTCAGATTGTTATGAGGCAGTTTTTATTTCTTTTGAAGCTCCTTTGGTCTAAAGCAATTCTGTGTCGTTTGCTTTTTTGAATATCTGCAGAATCAAAAATAGAATCTTGGATACAATATAAGCCATTTAATATATTCATATCATACTATGGGATTGGGAGTGGGCAAAACCTAAATAATATTTTTACTAATTTTGCTGCAAAAAATTAGTATTTGCTCCATTTGCAGGAGCACAATGGGTTTTAACATCAAAACTAAAATTATTTCAAGAACTTTGTAGTGTTTCTGATTTACTTTGGTTTATTGGATTTTAGCTGAATACTGAAATATTAGTTCGTAAGGTTAAAATGGTATTAGGGGATATGCAGCGGTAACAAAGAGATGTCAAATATGAGTGGTGTTTTGTTCCTTCGTGGGCTGCAGGAGTAACACTGGTCCATAGCAGTTGACAGGTGCTGCTGTTTGCCTGGAGGTGCCGTCACTGTCACCACTGACTGCGCTGGGAAGAGGGATGTGGAATCAAATGGTAAAGTCCTCCCAGCTGCAGGCATATGATGTGACTTTGCTTTTTCTCAGAGAATAATGTCCTAGCTCAGGTATTCGTGCAAGTGTTGTGAACATAAATTTTTTGTATTCTTCCGTGTTAATTGCTAACCTAGTTGCAGAAACATAGTCAGTGATTTAGAGCTTTGAGTTGGGAGGGAAAGCTAGCTTTTTCCAGTTGCGGATTGTGTTCATGTCTGCCCTCACATGTATCACTACAGTTTATCTGGTTTAATTGATGCAAGGTCGTAATGATAAACTTTAGGTATTTAATGTGTTGAAGATATTTTGCATGCAAATATCAGTGATATAAACACTATAAACCTAAAGAGCTCTCATCTGAGTTGAACAGATTTGGATTTTGCTTTCTTGAAAAAGTACCAAATAGCAATTTTTAAAAATTTGGTAGTTTTATTGAGATGTAATTCTTATACCATCCATTCAGTTTAATCACTTGAAATATAAAGTTGAATGATTTTTCTTTTATTATATTTGTAGAACTATATACTTATTACCACAGTCAATTATAGAGTGTTTTCATCATCTTAGAGAGAAATCATCTATATTTATTAGAATAAATTTAATTTGCCCAAAACCCTTGCCCCATCTCAGTATCATACATCTGTACTGAGTATTTGGGACTCACAGCTGTATGGCTTCCATGACCTGTCCCTATGCCACCTGTGGAAAACAAAACTCAGCCATGCCATGAGCGTCAGGGCTGTGCCTTGGAGCTCAGAGCCCATCCTCCTCTGTGAACTTAATTTTACATTCTTCTAGATATAATTCATTGCACTTCCCTAATCTAATACTGTGATATCTCACTGTGCTTTTGATTTGTGTTTTCCTGATGTTAACGGTGTTGAGCATTTTTTTCCATATATCTGATGGCTCTTATGTGACTTCTTTGGATAGATGTCTATTCAGATGTTTTGCAAATTCTTAAATCAGATTATTTTCTTGATATTGAGTTGCATATTTTAATATTAAACCCTTATCAAGAGGAATCATTTTATCTCCTTTTGATCTCTGCATTCTGCTTAGTGCTTTTTTTTGCTGAGCAGATACTTTTCAGTTTGATAAAATACAATTCATCAGTTTTGTTGACTATCATTTCAAGTTTTATTAAATTTATGTAGAGCTTCTTAACAACTTTTTTCTTAAAAAAGAAAAAAAAAAAGCAGGAGAGGATGACCCATATAGGAGACCTGGATTGAAGCTCTTGGTTCCTCATTTTGCCCTGATACAGCCCTGACCATTACAGTTGTTAGACAGGAGGTGGGGGATGAATCAGCAAGTGGAAGGCTGTGTGTGTGTGCATGTGTGTGTCTGTGATTCTATCTTTTTAGATAAATAAATCTTCAAAACAGCGATTGGCATTGCATATCATCCTTTGTTCATTGAATTACTTATGTGCTTTTTTTCTTTAAGAAAAAAGCAGTTGATGATAATTATGAGTCTATTTTTGGGTTCTTCACTATGCCTGCCTTCACCACCACATGCTGTTAATTACTATATCTTGTATGTATTAAAGCCACTTTATTCTTCATTTTCAAAATTGTTTTAGGTATTTTAGTTTCTTTGCCTTTCCATAGAAGTTTTGGAATAAACTTGTCTATAGCTATAGAAAATCTTGATATGACTTTGGTGGGAACTGTATTAAATAGGTAGGGACTTCTCATGTTCACAATGCTGAGTCTTTCAGTTCATGATAATGGTCCTTTCTCTATATTTTGTCTTTGATTTTCTTGATCTGCATTTTCTTAGTTTCAGCATATAAGTGTAGTAGTGTATGTATATTTCCAGATTTATAAGCTGAGTTTTCCATTGCTTTGTACAATAATCAATGGTCTTGAATTTGAGAGTTTGTTTTCCATATGCTC